GGAGTCCCTGCTCCATCTAGTTTGGGGGTCCTTAGCCTGGAAAACGTTGAAGACCCTTGATCTATAGTATATCATAATAGGCAAAGCTGTTAGAAAAGTGCTTTGGATACAGAAGCGTTAACTTCCCCGCTCGGGTGCATTTGGCAGGCTTCGCTGAGCGTTTATCCAGAGGCCGTCCTGCAGGAGCCAGGCGGAGTTGAGATGTCAATCAAACAGGAGAGTTTGGAGCAGGGAATCTGGCCTGGATCCCCACACGGCAGCAGCGAGGTGGCCGTTCGGACCAAGAGAGCTGGCAGTGGCACCGGGGGTAAGCTTTCGAGTCCTTACTGTAAGAGAGCACTCTCGGATTACAGGCTTTCATAGAGGTGTCTCCGTCCTCCCTTCATTTCCCCTCCGTTTTCCTTCCAAGAATCCAGCATTTGGAGCCACAGACCTCCATGTTTTTTTTTGCTTTTCCCCCCATTTTTGGTCCTCGTCGCTGAGCATTTTTAGAAGAATTACTTTCTGCTTTGTTAAGCCACATTACTCTGAAATATGAATCATTCAGGCTAGAAAAAAGGCCCCTAACTCAAGGGATGAGCCAGCATTGTGTCTAATCAACTGTTTAAAGTGGATCTTAAAGCTCTTTGTTAGAGACACATAATTTGTTCACATTTCTTTGGCTGATGGCTGAAAAAGGCTAAAGAAAACACTGTTTGACAGACAGGAAACTGGATTTCTGAGGATTCCCAAAGAGCTGCTGGCCGGAAACTGGGCAGATCTCAGCAGCGAACCCTTAAAGTGGAGCTGGGCTCCCAGATGTTTCTGTTTATGCATTTAGCAGACGCTTTTATCCAAAGCGACTTACAAAGTAGACACAATTTTACAGTTATCATCAGTATGACAGTAAGTCCTCTAGAGGAGAATCCCCAGCCAGAATCAGTGGTGGCAGCAAGAGACAGAGAAGGAAGCTCAGAAAGAGTAGTAGAGTGGGTATAGAAGTATGGGGAAGAGTCAGGACAGGAGATGCTCTGTGAAGAGGTGGGTCTTCAAGAGTTTCCTAAAGATAGAAAGGGACGCTGCTGTTTTTTGTAGCGCCTGGTAGGTCGTTCCACCATCTTGGAACAACTGAAAACAGTCTGGATGGTCTTAAGCGTGGTGAAGGCTCTGCTAGATGACAATAAGTTGATAACCGGAGGGACCGAGTTGGGACATAAGCCTTTGCAAGAGGGTTCAAGTAGACGGGAGCCATACCCTTAAGCCCTTTGTAGGCATCAGGGACTTCAATGTGATGCGGGTAACGATAAGATAGAAAGGGACCTGCTGCTGTTCTTGTTAACCAGTGGTAACCAGTGGTAACCAGGGGTAACCAGGGATAACGAGGGGTAACCAGTGGTAACCAGGGATAACGAGGGGTAACCAGTGGTAAACAGGGCAACAAGGGGAAAACAAGGGGTAACCAGGGGTTACCAGGGATAACGAGGGGTAACCAGTGGTAACCAGGGGTAACGAGGGGTAGCCAGTGGTAACCAGGGGTTACCAAGGGTTACCAGGGGTAACCAGTGGAACCAGGGCTTACTAGGGGTAACCAGGGGTAACCAGTGGTAACCAATGGTAACCAGGGATAACCAGGGGTAACCAGGGGTAGCCAGTAAAGCTCTATAAACAAAGGGGTGACGTGAGACCTTTTTGGGCTGATTTTTGGACTGATTGTAGACCAGATCGCCGCATTCGTAACCATGACGACGCGTCCAACTGTTCCGAAGAACGCACGTGGAAATACCCCTCTCGTATTTGTCCGCGCAGGTATGGGATCCCACCCGCAGCACCACCAGCACGTCCTCCAGCAGAGCATCAGCGAGGACAGCCTGCAAGACGAACCTCTCCACGGAAGGTAAGACAAACCCCGACCACCCCCCGGGAGAAAGTCTATTTATCCACTATCATCTTAGATGTTCCCCAAGATGTTCCACTCTCAGACGAACAGACTAGACAGCGTGGTAAGGGTAGCTGGCACTGAACTGGACTGCATCATGTCAGTATCAGATAAAAGGACCCTGAACAAGCTACTCAACATCATGGACAACGACTGTCACCCACAATACCATCATGCACCAGGAGAGCCTGATCAGCTGGAGACTACTTATAGAGACATATAGACTGATGGAACTGCACTCTGTCTGACTCTACTAGCTACACTAGCCAACATGCACTTTTAACATGCATGTTTTAAATTAGTATTTAGTATCTAGTATTCTAGTGCTTTTTAGTACTTGTTATCCCTTAGTAATGATGATCTGGTAACTGTTTTAAATTAGTATTTAGTATCTAGTATTCTAGTGCTTTTTAGCACTTTTTATCCTCTAGTAATGTTGATCTGGTAGTTGTGTTAATTTAGTATTTTAGTGATTTTGTAAGATACTGTGTGAACTGTAGTGTATGTTGTGTGTAATCTATCTATCTATCTATCTATCTATCTATCTATCTATCTATCTATCTATCTATCTATCTATCTATCTATCCTCTCCAGGTCCCAGCAGCATCGCCTCCAGGCCCAGAGTTCCTCCTCTGAGGGGGAGCACCCGGCCCTCGAGGCCCTGAGCCGGGACCTCCTGCAGCAGTACCACTCCTCCTCCTTCCTCTCCTTCTCCCAACCGGGCCTGTTCTGGGCCCAGGACTCCGCCCAGACCCAGACCCAGACCCAGACCCAGA